CACCCCACCCCACCGCGAGGCCGAGGGGCACGGCCCAAGAGAAGACGAGCGGGCGATGACAGCGCGGCTAGATCTGCTTTGCCGTAATCAGTCCTCATAAATCCATAGTGTTTCCTGAACAGTCGGGTATGGATTTTCAAAAATGCAAAAAGTCTGTAAGTTGGTCAAAACTGTGTCACGTCACCTTCCTCGCGCGGTTGTCATACCCTTTCTGGATAGTAAACATACTTTTATTTGCAGAGAAACCTTATATCGTAGGTATACTACTATACGTATCGAGGGACGGACGGACGCGGACGACGAACAGACGGACGGAGCTATTGCCCCCCACCCCCGCATGACATCGCGGGGGGAAGTGGCACCCACTCTGCACCTTTTGCACTAGCGCTATCTGATACCCTATCGCGCAGCGACCTAAGTCAACGCTTGTAATTATTGAGATAAGATTGTCTCATTCCGTCTCAAGTGTTCGCACTCTCGCAAAAGTTCGAGGAGTGACTAAACCCTATGAAACACTCAGGTCGCGGAGCAGGGTTATTTTCCTTTCTTTTTTTTTCGGAGAGTTATCGGACGCTCGATAAGTTTAAACCCAACTCGATTGGTTTATTTATTCGTCCCTTCCGTGGCAGTTTCCACCGCAATCGAAATTTCGTAACAGCGCTGCTGCGCAGGCGGGCGGGTAAACGTCGACGGTATATTTCTTAACCCCCTTTCTCTTCCCGTTCCCCCTTTCCTCACCCCGAGCACTCTAGCGTAGGAAAAGCGAACCAATGGCGGCGAGATGGAGGGGGTCGGTGGCAGTAGGGAGAAAGGGAAGGGGGCTGCTAAGGCGAGTGGAATCGCGGAGTGGGAGAAATGGGCTAAAATTAGCCGTTGTTAGTGTGAATTGAGTAGTTTGTGTTGGCTCGAGTTGTGGGTCTTACGGGGGGGAAGTGTTTGGACTGCCTGCCCTGGGCTATCCCCTCCGCTTCAGATGGAATCCGCTCGTTTTCATTCCGTTGCCGCCATAGAATCCCGCGCGCCGTTCTGCATCGGGTCGTCTCCAAAGGGCCGGGGCGGGGTGATTTTGTTCAGGTTTCCGCGACGGCCTCGCAAAAGCGAGAACACCGCGGTGTGCCTGACCGGTGAAAGCGGTCGCTCCGACTCCGGCCGGAACACGACGAGTCGAGATGTCGGATCGGAGACGGCCGCCGGAGGTGCCCCCGGCCCGGGTGCACGCTGGGCGCCCGGCAGGTAGGCAACCCAACTCGCCGCCCGCCCCGCCCTGACCTGCCCCAAGCCGAGCTCTGCTTCTGTAGGCTCTGCCCCGCTCTCCCCTTCGCTCTCACGCGTGGTCCGCTTGAAATAACTCGTGTGTGAAACCCTCCGGCCGAGCCGGCAGCCCGTCCGAGCTCACCCCCCGCCCCGCCCCCGCGCATGCGCTAGGTGTTTGTGTGTTCGCCGGTAACGCATGGCCAGCCCCCGTGGCAGCGGGCGATACAAACTGCCCACGTGACAATCCCAATGCGATTCAGGGGGGGAGATTTGTGGCCGCCCCGCCCCGCCCCGCCCCGCAGGGCACGGGCCGTTAGCACACGGGCCGCATTGTGCGAGCCGATTCGAGGCAGCCGGCCGGGCCGGGGCGGGAAGGCCAATTATTTTGGAGCAGCCCTTCGGCTCACCCGTCAGTCAGTCAGTCTGTCTTCGTCTGCCACACCAGGCGAATTATTTTGGAAGCAGCCTGCGGCTGCGTGCCCGCAGCCCCGCCCCGTCCCGCCCGTGATGTACCAGCCGCCCGTGCCGGTCCGCCGCCACCGCCGCACCAGCCGCACCGTCCCGTCCGTTTACCCGTCTAATCGATCTGCGGATTGCGCATGACCCCCTGAGCTGCGCGTCCCTTCAGCCGCCCCACCCCGCCCCACCGTGTCAATCCCATCGCCCGCTAATGAACAGCAGGTTAAAATGCCGGACTCAAAGCCCCTCACCATCGCCCTTTTGGTCGAATGAGCGCCTGCCTCCACTGATCTACCCTTGCGCCCATGTTATAAATAAAATAAAATGAAAAACATGATGTCGAGTGGAAAAAAAATGTTCAATTTGGAGAGGCAGGTAAAAAGGTGCACTTATAGGCAATAAAAGACTTGTTCTCTTTGTCAAGTAAAGGATCAATTTATTTTGTATCCTTTATTATATACAAAATGCTTGTAACAAAAAAAAATAATAACATAACAGTAATCGAAGAGAGGCAAGAATTTAAAAGGAGTCTTTTTGCATAGCATGTCAGACTGCAAACACTTAGTTTGTACAGAGAATAGGTTTTGTACATTTTGCTCTGTTAACTCACATGCCAATACTGAACAATAAGTAGGAGGGCTGGGCTTGGCCTTCAATATAAACAATAAAATCAATTCAAATAAACACAACATAGAATACTCAAATGACTGGCTGTAAACATTGCAGGGCATATCACTAGAATTTCTTGGGACTTGGGACAGTCGTTTGAAGGGCAGAGTGTTTGTAACACATCTTTCCTCTTCCAAAATTTCTGCTGGAAAGCCAGATCAAGGAATAAAAAACTGCCAAAGCAAAAACATTTTACATCAGCAACTTTCAACAATCTAGATTAAGACATCAAAATACTCAAAATTACAGAGATAAGCCTAATCTCCAATAAGAATCAGAATCAAGCTCCTTAGCAAGGAGCTAGAAATATTTTTCAAAAGTTGAAATTTTCTCCAAAAGTATTGTTACACACCTAACCAATTTAATCTCTACAAAACTATTTTTTACACGATTATTTCTTCATGAAGAACAAAACAAAAATGCCCCTACAGCAGATGACAAAGAGGCAATCAATTTCATTATAAAATTCCATGCAGTTTTTTTTTCACCAATCATTCTAGCATGCAGTTCTTTGTAATAAAATACTGTTTTTGATGGTTTGCAATCATGTGCTGGAAGCACTGTAAAATTGGAGATATATTTCCTGTAATTATGGTGTCCAGCAATTGCTTAAACTAAATTTTATCATTATTTTCACATGTACTTGATTTTATGAGATTTGTAAACATTAAAGCTTATTCCCACAGTCCATTTCTAGGACTACATCAATCCTCTCCCAAACAACAAAATGATGTCCAGGACACAACAGTTCTGTGCAATAATGCACTATCAGTGCAGAACAAGAGAAAATACAATCATTTCTTTGGTGTGAAACATTGCGAACACCTCAGGGTGCTGAATACAGCCCTTCAAGCTTCTTTACAGCAAGACACCCTGCTTTTGGTCCGTCCATTCATCACACCAAGATACCAAAAACACTCAAACCTAAGCTACTTTTTAAAAGCAACTAATTTTAACATTATGAGGGATTCGCAATTTGAATGCTTATCATGTGCTTAAATTTCATGATTATTTTTTTGTACTTTTATGCTTTTGAGGATGTAATTATTTTGAGAACAACAATTTTAAAAAATGATCACTTTGTGTAAGCCACAAACCTGCAACCACATTCTCTTAATTAATCATAGAAGTTACAATTATCTTTGCATTCGAATAAATATCCAGTCAAGCGTAGAGGTGTGGGCACAGATCACACTGAAGTTCTACATTTAATCATTCTTTTCTTCACGTCTCTTCATCCTACTTTAACTTCCATAAAAAAATATCAATTGAAAAATGGTCATCCGACATCACTACACTCTGGACAACGTCAGACTTCCATCACAATGGCACCACCTTCCCACACACAAATTCATCTTCTTTCTTCATCACAAGTTCAAAATTAAAAAAATTGAAAAAAAGAGTTCATCTTTTTTTGCGTAACTTCTAATAAAACGAATCTATATATTGATAAAAAGTCTCACTTTGCACTGTTGGCAGGTGCCTTGACCCGCTCATATACTCTATAATTGAATAAAAGTCTAGAGTTGAAGGGTCGACCCGATTCAACAAGACAAGACACTGAGATGAGGATGGTCATGTCTTGTAGACTCGATTCAACTCTTCACCAGCAATAAACCGACAGCTCACTTCCGTGCTCACCACTATGCCTCCAGGATGTGACAGCACGAGCTTTCATCTGAAACACAAATGAGAGAAAAAATGTTAACATCAGGTGCACAGAGTTCCAAAACAAAGGTCCTGCCACTGACCCACCCACTGAGATTGAGATTGCTACACTCTATGCAAAGTGTTCAGACTTGCCCACCTGATGACCCCATAAACAGCCTGCAAACTCCAGGGAGTGTTGCAGCGGGGGTGTCCTCCCCCTTTACCCCGCCCCTCCCCGCCTCGCCCCCGCTCACTCCGGGAGGGGAGAGTAGGCAGCCGGCCGCGGCAGCAGCAACAGCAGCCCACATTGTGGCTCCCTTCCCCGCGCTGCCGCAGCCCTCTCCGCCCCGCCCCTCCCCGCCCGGATCAATACTGAATACTGCACAGCGCACCGTGCCTAGGCGTCCCGACGAGAGCTCGGGGCGACAAGAGGCCCCTACGCCCTGCCCTGCCCGCCCCGCCGTGCCCCGGCAGCGTCGCGTACCCAACGCCTGGCTGGGCTGGGACCCGAGCTGGTCCTTCCTCCCCATTCACTTTAAAGCAGCACTGCATGGACACCACCGCTGGCTGGCGCAGCGCGCAGCTCGCCGAGCTAGTACCACACGGCAGGCACACCCGCGGGGCCCGGGCCGGGAGAGGCCCGGAGGAGGGGGCCGCAGCCGGAGCGGACCCCCAAACCCTGGAGAGGGCGAAAGGGGAAAGGGCGGGTGGGGGTGGGGGTGGGTGTTCCCCATTGATCGCGACTTCTTGTAGTACACCTATCTAGTAGAGTGAGCGAAAGGTATCGAACGCGGGGGAGAGGAGGGGGGGAGGGACTGGGCTTAGAGAGACCTAGCACCCCCTGCCCACCCCAAGCATCCCCCCCTCCGGCCCCCCCTCCCCCCTCACGAGGAGGTTCACAAGGTGACTTAAAGCTCTGGAAGGAAACCGAAGCTATCCGCGGTTAGCAGACTCCCCTCCCATTCTCCAGAGTGGCGCACAGGCGCCCCTGGCCTAATCCACTCGGTGGGTGCAGCACGAAGCTCCCTAAAGCGGAACCACTACCACCACTACTACTCCGGCCCTGCCTTACGACTCGGCCCCTCCCCGCGAAACCAGCTCTGACCCAGCCTTGCTCCCCAAAAAACTGTTTCCATCTTGAGTAACTAATGACATTCAGCAGATCAAGACATTATGGTCCAAAACTATGAAAACTAATTAATCTTAGGCACACAATTGAACCCAAGGAGTGACTAGTATCTAGTCACATTTCTCTAAAAGTTTAAAGGTAATAAACAATTCATAAAATAAATTTAATTGTAGTTGTCTTACCTGCTGCATTTTTTCAAAGTCCAGACATGGTCTCTGGATGTGATGAGGTCTTGTATTCTGACGGTGTTTCTTCCTAGGTGAAACGTCTAAATGGAATAACTTCATAGGTGGTGAAAAGGAACGGTGACCAGGTTTATGGGCATCCCTTGGAGGTGAAGTACGGAACCGAACAGGAGTAGCCATGGCAGCCAGCAGCCCTTGAACTTCTTCGTCTCCTGAGCTACCAGAACTTGGTGGGATTAGAATTTCACCAGCTGGTGAATCATCCAGTGGCGTCACACTTCTTGTTACTTGTGACCACTTGCGCTTCTCAGGCACAGTGGAAGCGCTTTGACTTCTTGGTGGAGGTTGGCGAGGCTCCTGAGGGATTGTACTGTTAATGACTTCCAACTCTTCTTCAGAACTATGATGATCATAGTTAAGGTCGGAGTCAGATGGTAAGGCCGAATCCAAGAAGTATGGACTTGCTGGGGTGGCAGTGCCACTGGCGATGACAGTGTCTGGAAGTGGGCTTATTGTTGAGCCACTCCATCTATCAACTTCACACTCCATATCTGAAACAACACAAACAAACAAAAGAACCATTAAAAAAGATACTACAGATGACTAATTGCAAAATGTTCCCCGATCACATTACTGCACTTGTTTCATATTTATTTTCACCTATATCACATCTCAATCAACTGAATCACTGAACGGAAACTAGAAAGGTATTACCTACATTTTAAAATAGTTATTTTGAGTTAATTTCTCAGTAAAATACAAAATGAATGCAATTACAACTATTTTTAAT